TGAACACAACAGAATGTGGTAACTGAGGAAGACTATACTAGTATCTGTGATGCCATTCTCCTCAGTGTGACTCTTTTCTGTTTGACCGTGTGTTCTGTCTAAAATTGTAGATTGTACAATATTCATTTGTCAGTAGTTTCAATACTTTTACCCCTTTCTGTGTAGCTGTCTTTTTTTTCTCATTTTTTAATGACAAATATTTTTGCTCTACAATTTTTTATTGTGAATTTAACATGTCTTTTAAACTGTATTTATATTTTTAGTTAGGATTATATTTTATTTTGTTAGTCTTCTGTTTACAAAGTTGTTTTGAAAATTAAACCCTGACCCATCTTCTCTGTAATTTCTGTTGTTTTGGGTGTATGATTGTGCAATAAGCACTGTTTCAAGAAATCACATTTCACAGGAATGTTCCATATGCAACATACTTATCTGCCAGCAGACCACAATACTCAATACTAAAACAATTATTTCACATTTTAACATCTCTTCAGTTGGAAAACATCTTACAATAAATGTACTCTTTCAGTCATAATTGGCAAGCTTTTTTCCTCTCTTAGAGATAAAATAATACTGCATTTCAGAAACTGCTGGTTAGATTTGACAGTGCATTATAGTATGTACAGTATAAAGAAATATAAATCAATTTTTAAAAGACGACTCAATAGAGCAGAAAAGATTTGAATACTCACTTCCTAACAGGAAATTTATGTTCCTAGTATCTTAGTCCATTTTCTGTTGCCATAATAGAATATCCAAGACTGGATAATTTATAAAGAAAAGAGGTTTATTTTAATTCATGGATCTGCAAGTCTTTAAGCATGGCACTAGTATCTGCTTGGCTTCTTCTGATAATGGCCTCATGGCAAAGGGGCAAAGTGGGCACATGCACAAGAGATGCACATGTGGCAAAAAAGTAAATGGAAGAATTAGGCTCATTTTTTTTTTTTTAACAACTCTCTTGAAAACTAACCCACTCTTTAGGAACTACATTAAATTCTTCATGAGAATGGAGCCCCATGAACTAATTATCTCTTAAGGGATTTACCACTTCTCAACATCATAAGTTTGGGACCAGCCTTCAACATGAGTTGAGGTGGGGACAAATCATTTTCAAATCATGGCAGCCAGTAAATATATAAAAAAGAATGTTTAATCTCATAATGCACTTGCACATTAAGTACACCACAAGGTGCCTTTACACACTCAACACTGAAAAATTTTTAAAACCTAGTAACAAGTATCCTGTGTGGACATGGGAGGAATGTTATTGTATAATTCCACTCACATGAAATTATAAACCTAATATATGTTGCTTAGAAACACATTCCTTAGTCAGTGCAGCCATGGGAAAGGAAATCATCCCAGATGTCAAGATGGTGGCTCCTTTGGGGGATGGAAATTTGAAGGTTTAAAATCAGATGTGCAGGCCTTAGGGTTTTGTCAGTGTCCTATTTCTTCATATGGGTGAAATTACTTTTAGTTTTTCAACTTTAAAATTCATATGCTTTTCTGTGTAATTCAGTACTTTAAAAAAGGAGAATGATCAGTTATATCACTTGTTCATAGGACAGGTAATATGATGACTGAAATTAACCATGGAGTTCAGCCAAGTGAAGACTATGGTTGAACAGAGCACACGTGTCACTGAATGGCTGGGACAACGAGCTGATTGGAATTCACTCAGGAAAGAATGAGAGGGAGGGATTGGAGACACGAGTAAACATTTTAGACATGAATAAAATATCAGTGTAAAAAGGAGAACTGTGGTAGTAAGTGAAAGAGGGGATGTGAAAAGCTTTGCAATATATAAGTATCAGGAGAATAAAAAGGTAAATTTTCTGTAATGTGGAAAGTAGGAGGATGGGGGATTGAAGATAACTTTTTTTATGTATGGGCTTTTGTGAAGAAAGTTAAATTTTATAATATTGTAAAGAGAATTAACATCAAAGCTACTACGTCTTTAGAAATATACATATGTTGTAATCCTATATATCATTCATACCTATAAAAGGAAAGAACCATGAATCATTTTGTTTAATACCACTTTGCAGAAAGAGAATGAATTCCAGAGAGGTTAAARTCTTACTCCAAATTGTGCCATTTTTAATTACCTCAGACTAAAACAGTTCCTCCTGGCCCYTGGGTCAGTCCTCTTTTTGCAGTATTATCCATAACCTGGTTTGCTGTTAAATTGGATTTTATATAGTCATTATATCTAATAGTAGAATTTATTTGGATAATATCTCAATTAGTCTTTGCTGCATAACAGCCCCACAGTGGCTTAAAATACTGTCATGTGTTACTTCTTGTGATTCCGTGAGTTGGCTGGGACCACTCACGCAGCTTCAGTCTTTGGCAGCTCAACTGTGGATAGAGGGGCTAATAAGATGGCTCACTCATGTCTGAGGCCTTGGTGCTGTTTGTCAGCTGGGACTCTGTAATTATTTAGTGGTCTAGCCTGAACTTCCTTGCATGGTGTCAAGAACATTCCAAAAGGGTGGAGGTGGAAGTCTAGACTCCTAAATTTGCTTAACATCATGCTCTCCATTAAATTAATCAAAGCTAGTCATGAATCCAGGTGAGTCTCAAGGGATGAAGCAACAGGCCCCACCTCTTAATGGGAAGGACGTGCTATGCTTGTTCCATCTATTACAGATCATTATAAATAATAATTTTAACCCACTGAATTTACTTCTTAAAGTTAATTTTTATTTAATATGAAGCTAAAAGTTACTGACATAGGGAATCTAATAATATAGTTTGGCTCATATGAGAAACACAAAGTACTTGAAAATGAAAAATTATATTATGCTAAAAAATGTTTTCCAGTGCTTGTATCCTCTTTTATATAAAACAGAATATTTATTTTTAGAAAAAGTTGGGTTAAAAAATGATGATGGGAATTCAATATAGTCTTTGTTGCATGGAATGTTGGCTTAAGCATTATTTTCTCAAGTCATTGCAATTAATGTATTATTATCTTTGTGGATTTTTTTCATGTTACAGAATATAATCGAATGTAATGCAACTAAAATATGAGAGCAATTAAGTTTCCCATTAATTAATCTATAACAATAATAGCATATTGCTAGGCATTACATTATTTGTTTAGAATTTTCACTTAATTTGACAATTATGTACATTGAACACTTCAAGATCTTTGCACTGTGTCAAGACTTGGGGTACTTCGAACCAAACAGACATAATTTCTGCATGCTGCCATACCTTAGGTGAGAATCAGGGAAGATTCTCTAAAGAAATTTTGTAAGCCAAGACCTGAAGGATGATGACTGAGTTAGCAGAAGTGAGAGTAGGAAAAGAAATAGGAATTGCTCTAGGGAAGGAACAAAGGATTCACTTATTTGGAAGTAAGTGAGTGTAAGGGTCAATGAAAGAATTGTGTTGTAGGAGAGAGGATTACTATGGCTAAAGCCTGAAGTGTGAAAGGAGTGAGACAGGAAAGAAACTGGAGAGGAGGCTAAGATTGCTAGAACCTTGTAAATATGCCAGGAATGATGGGAAACCTTTTAAGGGCTTAAAGGATCTTTTGTTGTTGTTTTTGCTCAATTTTTTTTTTTTTAAAGAAAAGTCTCTGACTATAATTTGGTGGGAGTAAGCCAAGGATAGGCAAGTTGATCTGGGGGATCCAACCACACAGGCTGAAGACAGTAATATGAATTAGGTGACTGTGGGAACCAGGAGAAATGTCTMGAGGTATTTAGGACGTGAAATCAACAGCATTTGGTGACTGAATGTTGGAGTAGAAGGAGGAGCCTGAGATGACTGACTCTCAACCTATGTGGAGGAACAGGTTTGGGAAGGCTGTGTCAGACCATATCCAGAGAAAAGCCTGGGTCTTTTTTTGTTTTGTGTAGTATTTAACATGACATTGCTAATATCAGTTCATAAAAGTGATTGATTCTCATTTAGCGAAATTTGTCAGATGTAGCAATACTGCCACAACCTGAATTTATACAGAAGAAAGATTTTACCTTATTATAAATTCCTTAATATATAGAAGTTTAGTGATCTGTTGCTGTAATCAGTTTATAAATCAGTTTACTTAACAGTGATTTTTTAAAATTGCTTAAAGAGAATAACGGTTAAGATGAAATATGAATACCTATCTTAAACCTTTGGTTAGTTTAAAATAACTTCATAATATTTATCCAAATTTTTAAATAAAGGACATTAAAAGACTTATAAAAATTGCTTCTCTTTTTTGTTATCTTTATGACTCTAGTAAATAGAATGTAAGTTTACATTTATGCTAGGAAAGAAAAATAAGATACATACACAGGACAACTACTTAAAAATGAAGTGTGTTGCCAGAGTGTGGTGATACAAACCTGTAATCCCAGTGTCTCAGTAGGCTGAAGCAGGAGGATCACAAGTTCAAGGCCAGCCTCAGCAATTTAATGAGGCCCTAATCAATTTAAGGAGACCCTATCTCAAAATAAAATATAGAAAAGGCTTGGGATGTAGCTTAGTGGTAAAAGGCCCCTTGGGTTCAGTCCCCAGTACTTAATTAATTCTGTCTTACACAATATGTGCAAAATATCACATTGTACATCACAAGTAGACACAATTTTTGTCAACTTTTACTTGAATAAAGTTGGAGGGAGGAAATGAAGTCTCTTAATGGTGGATTTATTTCTACTTATTGTTAAGTAATGATAATTGAGATTAAATGTTGTGTTTTAAGAGATTAAGCCTTTTTTAGCACTAAAATTATTTTAGTGGTTTTTTTTTTTTGGTTCTGAATTTCATGGCTATCTCTAGATTTTATTAAAGTATATTTACTCATTCTACATTTATTGTCCTACTTTCACCTAATAATGTTAAGTTGCCTGAAATTTTCTGATCCTCATTCTAGCAAATGCAATATATCCARTAGTCTGTGCCTCTATAAACTGAATTTTCTGATACTCTGAATATTTTGTAAGTTTAAAAGTACTTTGCAACCTATTTTTTTTTCTTTTTTCTTTTTTCTTTAGGCACTACAAGGGCCCCCAGGGATGGGGAAGTTCCAGGGGTGGACTATAATTTCATTTCTGTTGAACAGTTCAAAGCACTGGAAGAGAGTGGAGCATTGTTAGAAAGTGGAACTTATGATGGTATGTCCCCTAATATTAACAACACTCAGAAAACTATCTGAATGATGAATTATTTCAGAGGGAACTTGATCAGTAAAATACTATTTCTAAAAATTTCTTAGGAAAATTTTCCTTTGATGAGGAGATTTTATAATTTGCTAAATAAGATGGGATTAAACCAAAATAGAAACATTTCTTCATATTATAAATTTAATTGTAAATAATATACTAAAAATCAAACTGACTAGCATGCATATTTCATAGTAATTTACAGTCATCATCAGAACTCAACAAGCATTTATTGATTGCTCTCTATTGTGGTTGGGAATAAAAATCTGTATACTTATAAAAACCTGTGTGTACCTTGACTATCTTGGAGAAGGGAACATATAACTTGCTGGGAGGTGGGCAATAAAAACAGAATAATTGGTTTTCTTTTAATATCTCTACCCACTTGATTCCAGAAAGTACAGTTGAGATCAGTTTCAATTTTTAAATGATTCTCTTAGGCCTATTTATTTTTCCTTATGTAACATGCTTTTTTCCTGGCAAGCTTATCCACTCCATAGCACCCTTTACTTTTCCATCTTTGCTTTATCATGCTATTATAATTGCCTATTCCATAAACTCTGATCATGTCTTTCTTACTTGATATTATCTTCAGGGCCTCAGATGATGATGAATAATATCTAACCCTAAATACAACATATCCACATTTGTATTTTAATTCTTCATAATTTCTCTCTGTAGCAGTACCCCAAGCTCAAAACAGTGGAGTCATCATTTACTTCCTCCCTTTTCTTGCACTTCACTTCAGTCAGTTACCACATCTAGTCATTTCTTCCTTTGTACCCACTTTCACAATGCCCTTCTTTTCACCTTCACTATCTCATTGAAGCCTACTGGATCAGCTCATGTCTGGCCTATTGCAGTTGGTCTCTTATGTTCAATTTCTTCCTCTGTCCAATCCAACCTGTCCATTGCTACCATGCTGATCCTCCTTAAGCACCCTTCTGATCATGTCCCTCTCCTATTTAAAATCTTCAGGCATTTTTTACCTGACAAGTGTTATCTAACTATCCTTTCTGGGTTTAGCTACCATGACTCCCTCATTCATTCATTCATTCATTCATTCACTCATTCATTTTGTCCTATTTCATTCATTCAGCAATCATTTGTTAAGTACCTACTATGTGCCAAACACTGTAAGAGAGCCTAGTAGTACTGGGGTGAATAAGACTGAAATGCCACTGCCTTAATCCTCTCTCTTAGTGGGGGAAAATAGTCAGCAAAACAAAAAACTATAAATTGTTATGAAGAAAACAACAACAAAGGATTTAAAGAAATGAATAGGAATATCTTCCTCAGAGAAGATTCCCAGTGAAGGCTTAGAGGAAAGGACAGCTGCTTGTTTGTTTTGACTTTTACACAGATAGCCTCCCTCTTATAATTAATCATTCTGATGTGTTTAATATGTATGTTTTTATGTGTGTTCTTGCACAATGTATATTATGTCTTGTGTGCATATTTATTGTTTACAACTGAACTGTGTCATATATATTTATCATTCAGATTTTTATCATTTCATTTATTACTTTGTTTTTAGATACACCCATGTTGATATACTGTATTTGTGTGTAATCCATTGCACTTAACTTAATTATTCTCCTAGTGATGGCCTTCCTTCAAACTCCCTGTTACTATAAGTAAAGATGAACGTTCTCACATGTCTTTTTACAAATGTATGAGAATGTCTGTGGAATATATACCCAAGAGCCGAGTTATTGAGTTGTAGACTGTATATATCCTTGTCTGATGAAATAGTTTTGGTGCCTCCAGTCTCTTTTCTCCCTAGAAGTACCCAAAGGTTTCTGTAGCAGCTATAATAATGGCACCATCTCCCAGTACCTGGCATTATTCAGTTACATAATTTTGCCAATCTAATGGTTATAGAAGTGGTATCTCATTCTAATTTTAGTTTCTCTGGTAGTCAAGAGAGTCTGAGCATTTATCCATGTGCCTATTAGTCTTTTGAACTTCTGCAAATTATGCACTACACTCATTTTCTTTGTTCATTTTTTCCCAAGTTGAGATCTCAGTCATATTCTGATTTATAGGTTTTCCTTAGATATTTAGATATTACTCTCTTACTAGATGTAGATATTTTCTCCCATTCTGTCACCTGTTAATCTTGTCTTGTATTTCTTCATTAAACAGAATTTTTAAAATTTAAAAATCAGGGCCTGGGGTTGTGGCTCAAAGGGAGAGCACTCGCCTACCGTGTGTGAGGCACTGGGTTCAATCCTCAGCACCACATAAAAATAAAATAAAGATATTGCATCCACCTATAACTAAAAAATAAATTTAAAAAAAATTAAACATCAGTTCATTACTGTTTTTTTTTTATAATTGTGCTTTTGAAGTTTTGTTTACAAAGTCTTCTGTCCTTAAAGTACAAAAATACTTTTAGATTTGCATCCATGAAGCATAAGAACTTGGTATATGATAAAGTGGCATATTGCATATTTTCAGTTATTGTCTACTGTGTGCTTAGTTCAAAGGAAATGTAAATTAAAACATTATATATTTAATTTTATTTTTTGGCTACTAGGGATTGAACTCAGAGGTGCTTTGCCCACTGTACTATATCTCCAGCCCCTTTTTTACTTTTTTATTTTGAGACAGTGTCTCCCTAAGTTTCTCAGGCTGGCCTCAGCCTCCTGAGTCACTGGGATTGCAGGTGTGTGCTACAACACATGGCTCAACAATCATACCTCATTTCACACCTATCAGATTGGCAAAAAAAAAAAAAAATTAAGTCTAATAATTGCAAGAAATTGAATTTTCCATACATGCAAGAGTATAAAATGGTACAGTCGCTTTGGAGAACATTTTGGCAATAACTGGTAAATTCAGTAACTGACCTAGCAGTTCCTTCTCTAGATATGTACCCTAGAGAAACTGTTTTCCATGTATTTATGTACACAGGAGCCAGAAATATCATTATAACACTGTTTGAAATAGTGACAGAATAGAAATAGAAATAACTCTTCTGTAGATGGGGAATGAATAAAATGCATTTTTTGTTCATAAAGATGGATTTATGATTTATGGATTTATTACACAGAAGTTGAATAAAATATGTTTATATGTATAACATGGATATGTTCTTGAAATATAATTGAATAAAAAGAAAGTTACAAAAGTATATGTACAATACATTCTTTATGAAAATAATGAAACATTATGAAAACACCCAGACTTTTGCTGAAAACAATAATATTTATTTGTTTTGGATGCATGTATATATACCCTAGATGTATACAGTATTTAGGAAGAATGACATGTACCAACTTCAGGACAACTCAGGGAGGCAGTGGGAAGGATTGGTCAGGAAATTAGGGCTTCAATTGTATTTGCAATTAGGTATGTATATCCTCAGAAAGAAAGAAGAAAAATTTCAAAGAAATCTTGCAATGGTACTATCTGGATAATGTGTATGTAAATAAGTATAAATATATAAATATTTATATATGTAAACATATAAATAAAATATATATTTCTAATATGATTCTAATATTGTTATCTATAATTTTATGTATATTTGAATTATTTAATTGTTGGTAATTCTATTATAAAAGTGCGACAGCCTTTGGAAGAAAAAGAAAAGTTCCAAAAAATTTTTTAATTTTTTCTGTTAATAATTACAGTCAGGGTTTACAAACCTTGGAATTTTATACCTTGCCATCTGGAATGCTAATATTTATCAATGGTTTGAGATTACTAAGCCCAATGATTAATTTTTTTTGTACTATGGATTGAACCCAGGGGTGCTTAACTACTGAGTCATATTCCCAGCCCTTTTGATTTGATTTTTTATTTTGAGACAGGATCTCATTAAATTGCTTAGGATCTTGCGAAGTTGCTAAGGCTGGCTTTGAATTTGCAATCCTCCTGCTTCAGCCTCCCAAGCCACTGGAATTATAGGTATATGCAATGATTACCTTTCTAAACAAGGAAACTGCCAAAATTTATTCTGAAGTTTTGAAATCTTTGCAGTGATTATGGATAGCAGCTCTAATATCTTGCATTTTTCCAATTTTCCCCTTAGGAAAAAGTTAAACTTTCTAGAGTTAGATAATAATTATTAAATTTTTAGTGACTATGGATGACTACCATCATCCTTAGAAAAGTAGACTTTTTATTTCTGTCACAGGATATATCCTTATTCCTTCAGAGTATGATTATTGGCCACAATAAAGGAAAAATGAGATCCTAGAATATTTTATTCCCTGGCCACCCCTCTATTTGGATTATTTCTGTACTCTGCCCAGAGAAGTAGTAACCAGTATTTGTGTTTTTGTTGGTGGTAGTGGTTTTCCGTGTGTGTGTATGTGTGTGTGTGTGTGTGTGTGTGTGTGTGTGTGTGTGTGTGCATAATTTTTTTAGCTGGACACAGTACCTTTATTTTTTATTTATTTTTATATGGTGCTGAGGATCTAACCCGGTGTCTCAAACATGCCAGGTAAACACTCTATACAACCGAGCCACAACCCCAGCCCCATGTTGTCGGGTTTTTTTCTTTTTCTTTTCTTTTTTTAATAGTTGGTATGGAATCTAGAGTCTCACAGAGTCGGGAGAGTGCTCTGCCACTGAGCTACTTCCCAGCCTTAACCTGCTTTTCCATTGGTTTTGTACTTAGGACCCAGGAAATTTGCAAAGTCTGGAGTGTGTTAATACAAATTTTTGCATCTATCTTTGTGAAATAAGCAACCATTTCAAACATGGATTTGGAAACAAGGGAGTAGATGAGTGGGAGAGGCAGTTGTAGTTTAAAAGTTTTTTAGTTTGAGTTTATTGTTTTGTCTTGACTATTTAATGACTCCACTCAAAATTAAACTTTCAGGAATTAATTTTGACACTTTCTCCCTCAAACATTCCCAACCTAAGGTTAACTGTGTCATTTATAAATGAGTCTTAGTGCTACAGGTAGCAACCTATGATTTTTTTCTACCCAGGAAAAAAATGCATCTACCTCATAAATTGACCTTATATATATGAGCATCTTAATTATCTCCCTAGCTTCAAAGAATTTGATTGAAAGTTGTGGATTTTTAAAATAAAATATCATGAGTATTTTACTTTCTAATCATATTTACTTTTTATAAAATTAGAATAACAACTAATATAAGGTCACACCTAGTGGAAGCTACACACTGTTAATGTAACTATGCTTTCCTATTGTGTTGGGCTGCCTCAAGGAAGGACAATTTGAGAAGATATTCAGTTGTTTTCCTTCTACTCTGGAATGTTTATTTTTACCGCAAAAACCACTGATCGTCAGGAGAAAATTAATTTCTTGCTTTCATGAGAATAAGCCAATATTGAATTAGACTAATAATGTCACTATTTGTTCAATAGATTGTCAGATAATATAATTAGAATGCTCAGAAAATTTTAAAATTTTTAAAGTAAAAATTATATCAGCAATCCATATTTCTTTGCAAACTGCTTAGTTCTTAGCTTTATCCTTTGCCCACATATTTGCTCATCTTACTAAAGTAATACATTATGTATATTAAAACAAAATTATTTGAGTTATTTTTATTGTCTTTACCTCCCACCTTTTGTACTAGTTCGTCTTACATGACAGCTTTGATGCTTTTAAATTTACAAGTTAGGTCCTAATTCAAAGCCCATGTAAAGCAAGTCTTGTAGGAGCAATAATCAAGACAGAGAGAGGGGGAGGGAGGGAGGGAGGAAGGAAGGAAGGAAGAAAGGATCAATCAACTTCCTGGCCTTAGTAGTATTCAAATGTTAGATGATATATGATAAAGGGCTCTTGAGAAATGAGTTCTTTCTGTTATTTCTACCTCCTTCTCTCACAAGGAGTGCTTAGGTCGACCTTTTGGACAATGGTAGATATTCCAAAACGTCAGTGTAAGAATCAGTAGGGATATACTGTAGGCCATATTATTCTGAGTCGATTCAGMATGAAGATTTCAGCTGCTATTATTTTGTCCACTTCAGGAAACTTCTATGGAACTCCCAAGCCTCCAGCAGAACCCAGCCCTTTCCAGCCAGATCCAGTTGATCAGGTCCTCTTTGATAATGAGTTTGACACAGAATCCCAAAGAAAACGAACAACATCTGTCAGCAAGATGGAAAGAATGGACAGCTCTCTTCCTGAAGAGGAAGAAGATGAAGACAAGGATGCTATTAATGGCAGTGGAAGCACAGGTCAGTAAACACATGAACAACTTCTAATGGATGTTATGGGTTGGCTGTACTGACATTTAATTGGAAGTAGTAAAATTTTTGCTGAAACATGGAAAGCTTCCAATGTTTTGAGAAGGCTGTGTGTAGAGTAATGTATATTTTCTGTAGAGCATCTATAAACTAAAATGGGTTGTCCCAATTTTAATAAATGTATGAAAACCTACCAGTAATAAAATAATATACCATTACTCTTATTCCTTAAAATATTTGAGGTTCATCTTTGATTCTGGAATAGGGAAATCTTATTGACTTACGTCCTATTTTATAGGATAAAAGCAAAATATAGATGTTTTATAATGTACCTTTAGCTCAAACAAAAGTACTTGGAAGTTTAGATATATGCCAGTAAAAATTATCCAAAAGGTTTGTTAATATTTTTATTTAAATTCTGAATTCACTCAAAAAATTTTATWTTTTTGCTTTGACGCTCTTATTTTTTCATTACATATAAAACCAACAGAAATTTAGTGGTGAAATATCCTATTCAGTATCCCTAAATAATTTTGTGATTCTTAAGTTTGTAACTGGGAGTGTACCAAAAACAGTGCCTGGCACAAAGTAGGAACTAAAAAAAAAAATTGTTCATGTCCCCAAGTTTGCATATCATGTCCCCATCTCCATATCATTTTCCCAAAGGACCTTGATCTTTTCTTCATCGGTTATTAAAATTTGCCATTTAGTGCTCACTTTTGGCAGCACATATACTAAAATTGGAACGATACAAAGATTATGGCCCCTGCACAAGGATGACACATAAATTTGTGAAGCATTCTATATTTTTTTGGTGGTGTTGTTTAATTTATACAGAGGACATTTTTTTCAGAGCTTGAGAAGAGAAAATAAATAGCAGAATGATAACCTATTGACTACAATAATCAATGTTTCCCAATACTTGGTAAAAGATAGGGAGATTTTCAGTCCTTGAAGCCAGGGGTTTAAAAACAAAAAGAAACAAACAAACAAAAAACCACAAGTAGGTTATTCAAATTATTTCCAACATACATTTTCTAATGAAATGAGAGAAATTAATAAAGAATATTTTTCACATGTGAAAAAAATTGCCATTTACATTATATTTATTGTTTTAATATATTCATTGTTTATTTCCCTCTCCAGATTGGGAGTTTTATTTTATCATTCTAACTTCTCACACAGTTGTGCCACATAACATGTTTAATGTTAAATGAATTACATTATATATTTGGGTGTAAAGACTGAAATTGGGGTTGGAAAGGTTTAAGGAAATTTATACATAATTCTTTAGAGATTACTAAGGGAAATTATCATATCATAATATGATATGATAGACTTTTAATATTCATGTCAAATTTGCAGTCCCACAAAATTAATTCTGTTAATATTTTAAAATGGTGAACAATAGGATTAGAGACCATGAATCTGTCCCAGTAGGGAATTATATATTCTTGACTTAGGGGGAAAGAAGATTCTTTTTTATTTTTTACATCCAAATGCAGAGCTTTATGGTGATCACTGTGATTCCCTAAGAGATAAACCTATCTGTAATATCAATAGTTTATGCTAGTCATGTACGACAGTTGTTAAACCAGATGTTTCATACTCTGATATTAATATTTAAAGAGAGCACATCCAAGAGTGTGTGGGAGTCAGTTTGTACACTCTCTATTGTGTTTAGGTACCACAGGATTTTACATTAGGTTATATATTTCTTTGTAAGAGAAAATATTCCAAGTATTTAAATGAAAAACCAGAAAATTGTTAAGGAGTAGAAGTAGGGAAAAGGTAGGTAGTGCCTTATTTGTATACATCAATACATATTTTATATCTTGCTAAATATTTAACCCCAAAGGTTGCTAATATGCCCACAAAGGATGACGTATGTTATGTTGTGATGCTAAAATTTTTTTCCAAAATAAGTATAACATAAACAGCATCTTCCCAAGTCATTGGATGTTATACAAACTCCCTTACTCAATCACTTGGAACTATATTAGAAGTATTATAGATCATAATACTTATTTCCCAAGAATGTGACTCCCTTCCAGATTGATTTCTATTTTAGGTATCTTTTTTTTTTATTTTTGTGCATAGAAAATAAATCATGCATTTTGTTTATTTTTTATTTACTCAACAAATATTTGTTGAGTGCCTTCTAAACTACTAACTGCCAGCTAGCCATTTGTACTAAATACTGGGAATAAATCAGTGAACAAAACAGACAGAAACCCCTGTCCTGATGGACTTTACCTGATAATGGGAAAGTCAAGAGATTCAGAAGTGGTCTGCATAAATGAATATCAGGTGGTGTGTTAGCCGGTACAAAAGAGAAAAGTAAAGTAGAGGAGAATGGATGAGAAATAGTGGAGTCAAACCAGGCATAGTGGCACACACCTGTAATCCCAGAGACTCAGGAGGCTGAGGCAGGAGGATCATGGATTTGAGGCCAACCTCAGCAATTTAGGGACACCCTAAACAACGTAGCAATACCCTCTCTCAAAAATAAAAAGGACTGGAGATGTGGCATAGTGGGTTCAATTCTTGATACCAAAAAAAAAAAAAAAAAAGAAGAAAAAGAAAAGAAATAGGTCAGGGTTTGCAATTTTAAATAGGCAGAAAAGACTTGAAATAAATAAATAAACTCTAAATAATCTGAGAGAAGAGCTTTCCAGACAGAGAAATGTCCTGAGTTGGAAGCATGCCTGCAATATTCAGACAACAGCAAGGAAACCAGTGTGGTTCAGTGCAGCATAGACAATGTACTATGTGTGATTGGAGCAGAGAGATGGAAGACAGAAGAGCAGGATAGAAACCAGTATGGTCAGTCAAATAATGAGGGGTGGGAAGGAATGCATATTACACAAGGTCTTGTAGGTACTTAGAATAATTTTGGCTGTAACTGAAATTAGAAACTATGATAAGGTTTTGAGTAAAAGAGTACACAACAGATTTAACAGGCTCATTCTGCATACTGTGTTGAGAATAGACACAGGATGGCAGGGTATTAACGTTTAGAGTTACTATTGATATATGGTTTGTACTTCCAGCCATGTTTGATTATTTATCCTTTTTTTTAAATTTAGTTTGTTTCTCCATGATTATCTTCCCCCCCCGCCCTCTGTCTTTACCGAGGCACTTCCCACTGATGGTTTTGGTTATTGTTTTTCATTTCTTCCTCATGTAGTGTTTTGCTCAAGATGCTTTGCAATGCTGGTTTTCTGGCTGCAAATTCTTTTAACTTTTGTTTATCATGAAAGATTTTTATTTCGTTGTCATACCTGAAGCTTAATTTTGCTGGATACAGAATTCTTGGTTGGCATCCATTGTCTTTCAGTGTTTGAAATACATTGT